CTAGCAAAAAGCCACCGTGTTTCGTATCCATTATGTTCGCATAAAAGTCCACTTCCTTTTATGCTTATACATTCTAACGTTTGGGGTCCATCCAAAGTCACTACTTTAGGTGGATCCCGTTGGCTTGTTACTTTTATTGATGACTGTACCAAGATAACTTGGTTCTGCTTGATGAAGTCCAAAGGTGAAGTGAATTTATTATTTCAGAAGTTTCAGAAAATGGTTGAAACTTAATATAATGCACATGTTTAGGTTCTCCGTAGTGACAATGGTGGAGAATATTAGAGTTTTGCCCTTCAATAGTTTTTGGAAGCATGTTGAACTATTCATTAAACCACTTGTTCCAATACATCCTAGCAGAACGGGGTTGTAGAGTGAAAAAATCGACACTTGTTGGAGGTTGTTCGTGCTTCATTGATAGAAGTGCATATGCCATTATCGTATTGGGGAAAAACACTTACCTCTGTAGCATATCTCATCAATCGAGTACTTTCCAGCTCTATTGCCTTCCGGACACCATTACAGGCTCTCACTAACGTAAATGTTGCCCCAACTGTCCCAAATCTACCTCCTCATATCTTTGGTTGTGTAGCATTTGTACACCTCCATAAGCATCAATGCAACAAGCTAACTCCTCGAGCGTTGCGATGTGTTTTTCTCGGATATGCTCCTCATCAAAAGGGGTATCACTATTATCACCCTCCCACTCGATGAATGTTTATCACAATGGATGTTGTCTTATATGAAGACTCGATGTAATTTTCCTCTGCGTCTCAACTTCAGGGGGAGTACCAGAACGAAATTCAGACTCTAGATTATGATTATCACATTTTTTAGGATGACGATTCTAATGTTAACGACTCACAAGTTGGACCAACCAATCAAGAATCAAGCGAATTGGAATCGAGTGGTATAAGTTTGGATCAAAGTGGTGATGAACGCCCATAAATGGAAAGTATGGCGCCAACCCCATCATCATCTGAGTTCGAGTCCCTCGCAACTGATATCTCAAACCAATCGCCTACTGAGGATATTCCTGATTTAGTGCCTAAGCCACTCAAAAAACAATTACCACCGCGTCATACTAGAGGTATTCCTAAGCCCACATAAGAATCCGAACTTTCTAGTAAAGTTAAGTATCTCATGAGCAATTATGTGTCGAACCATCGTTTGTCAGAATCAAATTTGTCATTTGTAAATCAATTATCTACTGTATCTATTCCTAACAGTGTGTAGGAAGCCTTAGTTGACCCTAAGTGGAAGGGAGCTATGAACGAGTAGATGAAATCTTTGCAGAAAAATAAAACTTGGGAACTCATTGATCCTTCTTCAGGAAAGAAACCAGTTGGATATCAATGGATTTACAGTGTGAAGTATAAAGCTGATGGCATAGTTGAACGTTTTAGAGCAAGATTGGTGGCAAAAGGTTACACCCAAACCTATGGAATCGATTACACAGAGACGTTCGCACCTGTAGCCAAAATCAACACAGTTCGAGTTTTGTTGTCTTTAGCTGCGAACTTGGATTGGCCATTGCAACAATTCGATGTGAAGAATACATTTCTGCATGGTGAATTATCTGAAGAAGTCTACATGGATCTCCCACCAGGATGCATGATACTCGAAAAGTATAGTCAGAAGGTCTGCAAGTTAAAGAAATCATTATATGGGTTGAAATAATTTCTAAGAGCATGGTTTGGAAGATTTACAAAGTCTATGATAACCTTTGGTTACCGTCAGAGCAATTCAGACAACAAGTTATTTCTGAAGAAACAATAGGGTAAGATCACTGCACTCATTGTATATGTAGATGACATGGTGGTTATAGGGAATGATTCTGAAGAAATGAAGGCTCTCAAGAAGTACTTGTCCAAAGAATTCGAAATGAAAGATCTAGGTCCTTTGAGATATTTTCTTGGGATCGAAGTATCTTAATCTAATAAAGGGATCTTTTTATCTTAAAGAAAATATGCCTTAGATCTATTATAAGAGACTGGCATGACAGCATGTCAACCAGCTGAGACACTAGTGGAAGAAGGACTGAAGTTATGTGTTAAATCCAACCAAGTACCTGCTAATAAAGGAAGATACCAAAGACTTGTAGAGAGATTGGATCTGTAAAGACTTGATGTACTTAGCACACACGAGATTCGATCTGGCTTATGCATTGAGCATTGTGAGCCAGTTTATGCATGATCCTGGAGAGCAACATATGAATGCAGTTATGCGCATTTTGAGGTATTTGAAATCTGCTCCTGGAAAAGGAATTTTGTTCACTAAAAATGCTGGTTATCAAAACATAGATGCATATACTGATGCTGACTGGGCTGGAGCTATAAATGATAAGCGATCTACTTCTGGTTACTTCACTTTTTGTAGGAGGTAATCTTATTACATGGAGAAGTAAGAAACAAAATGTTGTTGCTCGCTCGAGTGCAGAAGCTGAATTCAGAGGTATGTTGCTTGGACTTTGTGGTTAAGACTTCTCTTGTGGGATTTGGGTTATCTACCTGGGTAACCTATTTGACCAAATTGTGATAATAAAGCAGCATGTGATATTGCCCATAATCCAGTTCAATATGATCGTACAAAACATGTCGAAATAGACAGATTCTTCATTAAGGAGAAGTTGGATGAAAAAATTATGGAGTTGTCTAAGATTCGATCTGAGGATCAACTAGCCGACATTCTTACCAAAGTAGTCTCAAATTAAGTGTTTTCAAAAATTTTAGATAAGTTGGGTATGTGTGACATCTATGCACCAACTTGAGGGGGAGTGTTGAGATTTTATCTCTTGTAGTACAGTTGTAAGATTGAATTATTTACTCCCTGATTTAGGACTAATTGGTAGGTAATTAGTTACCTATTTTAGCTAGGTCCTATTCTATAAATTGGATGTAATACCATCAGTGAAAATATTGAATATAATTTTAATCTCTATATTTTTTCACTGAATTTCAAGAGAATCTGAACTAGAACAGCAGGCGATGGAAATTGAAAAATATGGGTTTTGATTTTTTGAATAATCTGAAATGGTATGCCGATATGGGTTTGAACTTCTGATTCTTGTAGATTTTGTAGTTTGCAGTTGCAGAGAGAGAGAGAGAGAGGGCAAGTTCAGAGAGAAACAGTGTGAGAGAGAGAGAGAGAGAGGGCAAGTTCAGATATATATATATATATATATATATATATATATATACTTTATATTGTAAATATATATACATATATATATATATATATTTAAAAATGATCATAAAAAAATTATAATTTGATGGAATTAAATCAATTGTTCTTCTAGCATTCTTATATTAATCTAATCTTTGGATTTTTTTGTTTAGATTGTGTTATTATTATTAGTATTATTCTTAAAAAAATAAAAATAAAATTAAAAAAATGGAGGGATTTTTACTTTTAGATATTTTTAACAATCTCTGTTGATAGACTCTGTGTTTCATTATAGACAGTATGCTGTTGCTTCACTTAGTTGAATTTCATGTACTCCATATTAGAATTTTCTAGAATCCCTTTAATAGATTTTGAATTTTTGATCACATTAATTTTATTCTCTTTTATATCATTTTGTTTTATCTCTCTTTTTTTCTTTTGTTTTTTTTTTTTTTGGTTCCTTTTTTGACAAGTTATTTTAGATTTTTGTTTCTTTTTAATTAGGTTTATTTTTAATTTCCTTTTAATATCTACAACTTAACTTGGAATATGCCTAATATTAATATTACTGATGCAAATATGAATGATGGGAATGATAGTTGAAAAAGAATGGAAGTTGTGTCAAAAAAATACCATTTTGCATGAAATACACCACTGGAGTAGAATTGCTAAAATGTTGAATTTTGACGCTGTAACACCTGTCAAAATATAAATTAAACATGCAAAAATAATTTTTAGCATTGGAGATGGTGTAAATGACTTTCTACCCTTTATAAGAGTAGGGTAAAATTATTATTTTATAAATTTTAGTCAACAGATTTATCCCCAAAAAACAAACAATTTTATTCCTCATCAAATATAGCTTTTATTCTCTTTCTCATTGTCATACAAAAATGTTAGAGAGTATAGTATATAATATAAAAAAAAAAAAAAAAAAAAAAATCTATGTCTACTCTTCTCAAAAGCCTACTGGATTCCATTCCAACTTTTGTTAGTACCGAGGCATCTTTTGAGGTTATTTGAACTGCATCAGCTTGAATCAATAGCCACATTATTAAAAAGAATCTTGTTCAATTATCCACCTGAATCAATACCCAAACAAGTCCCTTTCAAACAGACAATGCTTGGGTATTCCTTAAGCAACCCAACACAACCTAAATGTATTTTATGTGTGTACCAACATTACAGTTTTATCACAAATCGTGAAAACATTATTTTACCCCTTTTTCTTCCTTTGAGAGACGATCACTTTCGGTTTAACCTCTAAAACGATAGGTAAAGCTTATCTTTAATTATTATTTTTTTCTGGATACTTTCATACTGGTATTTAAATTGCATTGAGTCACACCAGCGAGATGATGAACATCATCCTCCTAGTGGAGGATTTGAAAAATTATTAAAAAGTCTTGGTTGATTGATACTTGATGGACCAGATAAATCTAAAGTATCTGATTAAAAAAATGATCCCATAACAATATATTAATATAAAAAGAATAAATCTCAATATTAACTTTTATTAGATTGTCTACTAGTTAAATCTAACGCCTCAAATTAAAAAAATGATCACACAAAAGTGTATAAATATAATACAAAAAAAATCTTAATATTAACTTTTATTATATTAGTTCACAAAATGTCTAACGAATCTGGACAATCTAATAATTTCTTTAAGAATCTAAACATGGTACATTTTTAAAACTGACGTGGTGGAGTAAGATGTTTTGCGCACTTAAGGCCCACTTTATTAAAAAGAATTTGTTCGAATAGCGACGTTTCACCACTGGGGGGGGGGGGGGGGGGGCCTATATATATGTATGTAATATTCAGATATATATCATCCTAGCCTTCAAAGCCTAAAATATTTCCTCCAGTTAGCTCTCCAATTTCTATATCCAATCTCTAAGTTTCTCAAGCTTCTTTTCTGCAACCATGCGTCGTTCCGGAGGAGGTATACTTCTGTAAATTGAAATTAGAAATTTAAATTAGAAAATTCATACACATGCATAAGATATTATTACGAGTCTTTCACTCTTTTAACACTTTTCATTTGCGTGTTTTTAAATGGAATAAGACTAACTCATGGTTTGCGGTGTATTACGAGTCTTTCACTCTTTTAACACTTTTTATTTGCGCGTTTTTAAATGGAATAAGACTAAATCATGGTTTGCACGTCACGGTGTAACGGACTCGGTGTAACAGACTCGGGTGAATATCGGTATAAACCCGGCTAAACCGGTTGGTTCATCGAAATATGTAACGGTATAAGACATTTGAAAAAAAGTTACGAACCGATAATTACATCGGACCTTTGAAAAAAAGTTAGAAACGCATATAGACTAATACAGCATGGACTAACCTTATTGAAGTAAACTTTTTCTAATTATATGTAAACACATAGTACCTTATAATCACATATTTATAAGTATCCCGTAACTTCTTTGATCTCAATCATTAATTTACAAAATTGTTACAACTTTGAAATGTTGATCGATGACATAATATTTCTTTTTCTTAATTTATTTTCATTCGACATCATTGGAGTCTTTACCATCATTACCAAAAGAATGGTGTGAGTTACTTTGTTATGTGTAATTAAATTGTTCATATTGACATTAGGTTTCCAAATTTATATTTTTTTTGTTACGTTTATATATATATGTATACACTAAATTTATGATCTAATATTTTGGCATTCATATATTGGCCTATATAATATTTCTGCAGTAAGGGCACCTCCACCTCGCCCTGTACCTCCACCTCCACCTCCCCCAGGTATTTCTTCTTCTAGTTGCTTGCTGATTCTGAAAGCTTACAAGTGTCACGGGCTACACAATAGATCCATCTTTTTTAACTGTCTTTCTTCCTTCTTGGATGACTGTGCGTGCTATGTGGTTACTGCAGCTCCTCAACCGCCCAAACAATTACTTAAAGAAACCGGTAACTCTTTCTTGAAGGGTAAGTGAAATGCTTTTCAATGAGATAAAGTACATTGCATCTGAATCCTCTACTGTAGCGGGTCTCTGGTGTAGTGTGAACAAATGTGTTAAAAATCACGATTCAACTATGTTAAAATTATTTATTCAAAAAAAAAAAAAAAAAAAGTTATCTTAAAATTTCTTTTCAACCCTGTTACTTTATGTTTCAATACATTAGTTTATGTTTAGATTTAGAACAAATGTGTTAAAACAACATTTAAGTGTGTTGAAAATCTCTACATCACGCTAAAGCAGGACTCGCATTATGCGATAAAAAATTCTTCTGCTTTTTGAATACTTCTTGTCCTCCTTTCTTGCTTGAATACATGTATGTTGTCTCCAGTGGTGTAGCAAGGAATTTCTTTCAGTGGGACAATTTTTAATAGCAATAATATATATATATATATATATATAATTTGAAACAAAATAATATATGTAAAAATTAAAACATTGATTCATAACATTTCTATTTAGCACATCCACAACTAAAAGCTTTGAATAATAATATAATTGTCAACCGTACTACCAATTTCATGGTAATAAATAAAAATAAAATTGCATGATAATTGATAACCAATTTCATTCCAAAAAATTTCATCGTAAGAAACATTCTAAATAACTGCCATGTGTCAATCAATTCATAATAAAAATTCATTCATATTAAAAATAAAATAAAAAGCAAAGATATGAAGATAATTAACCTTATAAGTTAAAACCATATAATCCAATCAATTGCAAAATTTGACAGGGTAAGTGAATATGTAATTTCATTGATTTGGGTTACAAGCTTACCAAAAAAAAAAAAAAAAAAAAAATTCGTAAGTCATATTTATAGAATAATAATTAGTAACACAATTACACAAACTAAAATTTGAAAGAACAAGTCCTAAAATAATTTTTCTAATTAAAATTATAATATCAAATAATAATCGTAAATTTAGATGATAAAAAAATAATAATACGACTTACCGAGTTTCTGTCTACTGGTAAAGTAGTATGGTTGCTCCGCTTGTTTTTTTTGGATTGTGAATTTGTGAAATATTGAAGACTCACGAAAAGAAAAATATTGAAGACTGAAAATTTGAAAATGCGATGGAAACAATGCAATTGCTTGTGGTAAAGTAAAAAATGTGAGAATATCTTGTATTTTTTGAAAAAAATAGGAAATAATATAATATTTTGAGAAAGTCAAAAAAAATATCATATTGTTTGGGAAAGTAGAATATACTGTAATATTTTGAGAAAGTGAAAAAAATATTATATTTTGTGAAAAAGTGTAAAACCGTGAACGAACTTTTGAATATATATAGTAATATATGTGGCACTCTTAAATTTTAGTATACATATATAAAAATCTTTTCATAAAAAAAAAATTTAAAAGTTCAGTGGGGGCTGTTGCCCCCACTTGTCCCTATGTGACTACACCACTGGTTGTCTTGTCCGCATGCGCATATATATATATATATATATATATATAAATTATATGAAGTTGAGTGCTTATGAAAGTGATCGATTTTCCTAATTTCTTCGAAGGCGCGGCTTACGGTGCTGGATATGCTATTGGAAGTCGTCTGACAGAAAGAGGTGTTGATGCTGTGTTGGATCCTCCTTCTTCTAAATTTAATATGGAACTGATATATGAATTTGATACAGAAGGAGGTTGTCGTGCTGTTTTGGTTCCTAAAGCATGTATGTCTTCTCTCTTTCAACCACTTTCTAATAAATTTATTAAATATCTTTACAAGTAAAATTTTTTTAAGTAAAAAAATGTTACAAGTTTAAAAAATAAAATAACTTATTGAAAATGTTATTTATTTATTTATTTGTATTGTTCATAGTTACAGTGCTGTTGTTACAAAGTCGAAAAGGAAACACCAAATTTGATGTTTATGATTTTGGTCTTTTTTGGAAACAAACATGAAACTATTCTAATAAAAATTATCAAGCGTGTTTATATGTTTTACTATGCTACATTATACCATCTTTATTAAAAAATAATAATAATAAAAATAAAAACAAAACAAAAACAAAATGAATATCAAACAGGTCCTTAATAAGTTGTTGAATTTAATCAAAAGCAAGTATGTATATTTTCACTTAAGCCAGTATGTATATTTTCACATTAAAAAAGAAAAATAAAATAAAAAATTCTGAACTCCACTCTTTGTAGAACTTGTAGTAGTGGGAGACTTCAACTCCTTTTGGAGAGTGACTATCTGATAAAAAAATAAAAAATAAAAATAAATAAATAAGGAGGTTAGGTCAATGTACGAAATTTGTCTGAGGGGAGTTGATGTATGTAGTCTATGTAGAGCCTTACCTTCATATTACAATAAAATAACTTTATTGTTGGGCTGAGACCCCCTCTCAAAATAATAATAATAATAAATAAATAAATAAACAGAATGACACTGTTCTTTTCTTAATTACTTTAGGTAGTTGAATTGTGTTGTCGTTCATTTATATTGTGTGGCGGAAAAATTTAGTTTGTGGTACATATAATAGTTGAAATTATAAAATTGTATTTTTGACCATATAAGTAATACTATATATGTAGCTTTATTGTCTCATTTCTAATACTGGAGTCCTAAATTATGTGTATTGGAGTTTTGACATTTATTTTATTTTGTGATTTGGGGATTTGTGCTGCAGGGCCAGACCAACAAGGGACTTAACCTTGTTATATTGAATGAATGCACAAGGAACACTGGACCAACTAGGCACTGAACCTTGTTATGTTATAAAATTTAGGACTGGGAAATGGATATTAATAACGTACTCTTCAACGTACGGTGAATGATGTATTAAAATAATGGCTATAATGCCCTTCTTTAATAATGGTGCTTTGTTATGGTTTCATCAAATACTGTGTGTTAGTCTAGTATGTAGATGGGCCAATATAAAGAATACGCAATCACAATGTTACTCACTCATGCCAATTGTTGTCATCATATCAACACAATGGTAAAAGGTCAATTTGGAGGCCGTTGGTGGTCTATATTCATGTATAAATTTATCTTGTTTGAGTTTATTTTGTATAAATTTTAAACAAAATATGATGAGGGTGTTCACCACTAAATCGGCCAAGTCAGCCGATTCAGAAAATGACTAGTACGGTTTGTTGTGGTCTAATAAATAGTCGTAAAAGGTTAATAAGGAGGCCAATATTGGTTGGTTTATATTCATATACAATTTTATTTTGTTTGAGTTTACTTATGTACAAATTTGAGGGTAAATTATACAAATTTTTTCAATAGTTTGTCATAATTACAGGGGCCTCCCTTATGATTTGAGAAATAACTTGGTCCTCCCCTAAAAATAAAACTAACCTACATGAACCTCTCCTCTGTTACAAGTGAGTTGTGTAGCGGAATAGGATGTGGAAGTTTGTATTTAAAAATAACCTAAATGGGCACGGGTGAATAGGTTTTACTTACTCCTTTATCTAATTTGTTCTTATTTTACCAAAATAAAACTAAAATCAAACTCACAAAGCAAAAATAAAGTACAAGTAAAGTAAATAAAGTTTGAGAGATGACACTAGGATTTTTAGTTAGGAACCCTCGATTGGTGGAAATCAACCAATCGTTATGGGAAAAACCTCGTAGACTATGTTGTCCAGAGCAAAACGATTCACTATGTTTGAAATAAAGTACATTGATCTTTGACTAAGGCTCGCACCCTATCATTCTACTAAAAACCAATCGCTGACAATCCTTGGCTTTGCAACTCCCCCGTCCAACAATTCTCAACCTCAGGCTTACTCTTGATCTTTGTATAAGGATTGCTTGTAGATTAAACAATACTTCATGAATGTTTTCCCATTTTCTTCAAATTTGAATTTGATGAATAATGAATAAATTCTGCTTTTCAAAATCTCTTGAATGAAACATCCACAATCCACTTGTCACCCATTTAGGCCTCCTCACAAGGCTTAATCACAAGCCTACACTTGTCACCAATCCAAGCTAACAAGTGTATCAATGGTTAGTCAACAAGTTGCCCAATGAATGAGTGACACTTATCACTCTTTTTTTTTTTTTTTTTTTTTTTTCTGTAATGACCCGGTTATTTTCATTCATTTCATTTTCTCAGATTTTCACGGATATTTTTTTTCCGTTGATCTTTTCCTTTCTGAGTTTGGTTTCTTACCACTTAATGTCATCTTGAGTGCTCGGGGATGGTTTCCGAGACTCTTTTCCTTGGATTGACGACTCTCCTTGAGGATCGAGTCATTTTCACATTTTCACTTTTGTGACACTATTCATTTTTCGTCTTTTTCTCGGTTGTCACTTTGTTGGCATAACCTCACTTTTCATGTTCGGATTTGATTCCGATTTTGCATGCAACCATGATATTTAAATTCCATACTATGTGCATTTTTCACTTTTTTAAAAAAGCATGCTAAGTGCTTACTTTTCTTGTAAAGGGTATAGACGCATAATTTTTTTGTAATATTCTAGACTTTTGGGGTTTTTGTGTAATTATTGTAAAGTAATTATTTTTCGTCTTAGGGACCATTTTGCAATTTAATTTGAAAGATATTTTCAAAAGGACCTTTTTGCAATTTTTGGAAAGTGTGACAAGTGTCACACTCTCATGGAGCCACTTGTTGGCATTGGGGTGGAGGGACTTGGAGGCATCATCTTGTGACATTTGGAGGGTGGAGATTCACCCACTTGTTGGCCTAAGATTGGTGCACTAGTTGGCTTGGATGGTTGACAAGTATAGGCTTGGGATTAAGTCTTGTAAATTACTTTTGGGCCACTTTAGGATTATGGTTTTAAAAAAGGGTTTTTGAGCAATTGACCAAACTAGTGTGTGTTGACCATGGTGTAAGATCACATTGTGAGTGGAGGATTTCTAATTCCTCCACTCACACTCATTTCATTATTTCATTTCCTTCCTCACCCAAAACCCTAGCATCCATGGATGGAGCTTGAAGCCTTAAGCTTTGACCTTAATTTTTGAGAGCCTTCCATTGATTTCTAAGCTTGACCTTGCGAATACTTTTTGTTCCCCTCATCCTCCTCTTCATAACCCTTGAAGGGTTTGCCATTTTGTGTTGATTTGCCTTGGATTCTAGAGAGACACTTCTCTAGTGAGGCAGGGGATGTTATAGGGTTATATTTTTGTTTCTTGCATACTATTGATGCTTATATAAGTTGTATGTATGTCTTTTGTTAATTTGATAAATTAGTGATTTATCATGTCTTGCATATAATTCATTTTAGACTTGGTAAATGGCATGGCCATGAGTTGATCTTTGATGTATATTAATTTGGGATGATTTGGATGAGTTTTCAAATCTAAAGATTAAATGGATTTAATTTGATTTAAATTTTAGTAAATTGTATTTTACTTGTATTCCATTTTAGACTTGAGATATGATATGATCATGATTTGGTGCTTGATATATATTAATTTGGAATCATTTGAATAACTTTTGAAATCTAGAGATTTAATTAATTTAAATTAATTAAATTCTATATGATGCTATCTTGCTCATTTGACACTTTTGATTTGATATATGTAATGAGCTTGCTATATTGTTTAACATATATTAATTTGAGGTTATTCGAATTTGATTTGAAATCTAGAGAATTTGATTATCTTGTTTAATTAAATTCTATCTAATGGCTCCATAGATCTATTGGTATTTTAGAAGTTGTTTCTATATTCAAATCATGGACTTGAACGTATTATGTATTCACTTTGTTGTGTTTTGAGCATTGGACAACTTTGTTGTTATATTTATATTCATGAGAACATGTTTTCTTTATAAAATATATTGATACCATGTGTAATGAATTGTACACTTTGTAATTGATATTATATATGCCATTTTAGAATTGAAACTCTAAGGCATGGATTGTGTGGTTTCAACCTACTTGTGCATGGAAGGTGGTTTTCGTGCATTATATAATTACGTATAAGTTGTGAACTTATTTGATTATTTTGGAGTTTTGGGACATTGTTACAAGTGACATGGCTAGAGTTTGGTTCTAGTGCGAGAGGTATGAGTTCTCGCCAATTGAGATAGTGCGCACTAGGGTGGTCTTCCCAGTGGGTTAATGCCCGGAATAACTATTTTGTTCTTGACGAAAATCCGAGACGTGATGTCCAAGTCTTCCACTATTTGTTTACGCATTCAATTCCAAGTTAACAATCATTTTTATATTGTAACTTGTGGTTTTGGTTATTAGCAATTTTGATATTGTTAAGTACATCCATATTTATGATTTTAATGAATCATTTTGATGTTGTTAAGTACATCTATATTTATGATTTTAATGAATTATTTTAATGTTGTTAAGTACATCTATGTCGAGGGAAAAAAACTCCCTCCAATAAAAAGCGCACACGTCACCACTACCCATATCTACATTCCAAGGACATATAAGGCCCATCATGCTCAAGCCCAAGTTGAGGGTATTTACAGCCCAAGACCATTGTTATTTGTCCTCCAACTTCCATCAAGGCCGAATCAAGAAGTCATCAGCCCAGCTTATGAGTATTTAACATCCGGCCTGTTACTCAAGCCCAGCCGGATCAAGATATATTCGGCCCAAGAATGCACAAGTCCTACCATTTGAAGGATTTACTGTAGAAGGAAAATTCTGATAAGAAGTTCTGTACAAGGCAAGTTCTATGTATGGAAAATTCGACAATGGAAAAAACTCTATTAGAAAAGAATGGTTATATAGAAAGAATTGGAGGGCAAGTAACGCGAGTCCTACCATAATCTTGCAATCTTTTGTATATAAATAGAGGCTAAGACCTCCAATAAAGGATCAAGCAATTCTACGCTTCTCTACACACTGTTCTTATTTATTTTTATTGTTTTTGAGTGAGTTGTTTTATTTCTCTCAATCATTATTGGTTGGGCGAAATTTTGCACCTACACTTTGGTGCCGTCTGTGGGAAACGTATAGAAATATACTCCCACTTGTTCTTCAAATTAAATCCTTTAATCGTGTCTGGAATGTCAAACGGAAAGTCAGCAATGAATCAACAGATAGAATTGATGCAAAAGATGCGAGAAGAGTTCTTGCACCAATTTGAGACACTCCGGCAAGCAAACGATACAAGTGTCGCCCAGATAGCTGCGCTTCAGCAGCAGACTTATACGCTGCACACGGCCATGGCCAGGCTAACGCCACAACCACCACCAGGCGATGCTGCGGCACCACCCCTCACCCGGAATTTACCTCCGGTTCACGAGCCTCCAGCCAACGAGACACCACCCAACGGGGCTCGACCTAGTGAGGTTCAGCAAAAGCAAGGGACGAGGTCCGAGACGGTTGCTTCGGATAATCTCCCGCATCACACACAGGACGAACAGGCCGAGTCCAGCCATAAGCTTATGGTATGGTCCAATGGCGTTCTAGATGGCGCACGTGTACAAGATGCCTTCGACGAAAAGAAGCTCTTGAGAGTCCAGACACCAGCCTAGATGGCTAGAGAGCACAAGAACTCCTTGGTTAAGACCCCCTTTACTGACGAGGTGTACCTTGTGGAGAGGCCGAAGAAGTTCACTATGCCATCCTTCACCCAGTTCGATGGGGCAGGAGACCCCTCTCGGCATCTCGATCATTATGCGCAAAAGATGGCACTGGACGATCATAACGATCCGTGGATGTGTAAGGTTTTTCCTACCAGTTTAACCGGAGCAGCGTTAGAATGGTTCAGGAATAGGCCACACAAGTCTATCCCTGACTATGAGACCTTGTGCACTATGTTCTTAGCCCAGTATTGCGGAAATAAGAAGTAGAAGAAAAGTATCGCCAGCCTTTTCACCATAAGGCAAAGGAAGGGAGAAACTTTGCAAGATTTTTTATCCAGGTTTAACATGGAGGCCTCGGAGATAGCAGATTGCCATCCTGCCACGGCAATCGAAACATTTAAGTTGGCAATGATCCAGGGAACCAAGTTTCACACATCCTTGGTCAAATATTCCCCCCCGGATATGCAGACTTTGAACGCTAGGGCACAAATCTACATTCGGTTGGAGGAAAACGTAGCTCACCG